CAGTCCTCAGTGTCACATGATCCTTCAGAAATCATTCTAATATTCAGATTTCATGCTCAAGAACGATTTCTTATTATTATCAATGTTAAAAACAGTTCAGCAGCTTAATATTTTTGTGGACACAGTGATACTTTTTTTCCAGGAGTCTTTAATTAATAGAAAGTTCAAAGGAACAGCATTTATTATTATTTAATTATATTTGCATTATATTTAAATAACTATTTTAAATATCTTTACATATTTAAAAAAATTATTAAATATTTTATATAGTTTATTACATATTTTATTTTAAATATTAATTTGACATTTTAAATATTTAATTTCTTTAAATTGTAAAAGTCTTTATTGTCATTTTTGATCAAATTAATGCATCCTTGCTTAAAAAAAATTACTGATCCCAAAATTTTTGAGTGGTAGTATTTTTGTATCATTTTAATCAATCAAACAATTTGCAAGCAGCCAACAAGTTCTGTTCTCACCTTCCATATTGCTGCTATATTTTTATTTCAGGAGCGCAGTTCTGTAATTCCCTGCATGTCCAGCGGAGGGCCACTGCATTCCAGCCAAAACATGTTGCTCCAACCACATGGAAGTCCACAACTAGTTTGTTCCCTAGTTAAAAATAGGAGCCGTGATTCTATATTTCAGATCTGTTCTATAAAATCACCAGTGAAGCCATATGCAGTGAGATTTGAGATAAAGAGTGCTAATTAGAAGCATGATTAACTTTAAATAGTGGAATTTTAGATCCTAATGCCAATTATTCATTTAATCTAAATCATCAAAACACTTTATTTTGAAAACATGATTACTGTGGCGATGCGATATTACATAATATGATGCAATGTAACTGATGGTACATACATTAAATTAATGACATTATCTGAAACATCAAAAACCAAGACATTTGAGTGAACATGCAACTGTCTCCTTTTCTTTCTCTTCCAGTAGATCACACCCCCCATCACCTAAAAAGGCAAGAGTGCAACTGGTATTTCTCCCGTCCCACGCCCATGTGAGGCACCAATAACATGGTAAATAAATTACCAGCACCTATTTGCTGCGTCCCCTGCCAGAGCCTGAACTCCCCTGTTTACGGCCCTGGCCTAAGATCCCATTGATTCTCCCCCAGCCATGATCCCAAATCCGGCACTTTGAAAACCCTCATCCTGCTTTTCTCACAAGATTGTGAGGATTCACCTGTGGATTGGATGGGGACAACAAAGAGGAACATCTTTTCCTGAGTGGGATTTATGGGTGAAACTGTCCAAATAAGATTACACAAGCAAAATCAAAGAACACTCGGCTGAAGTACCACCATGACTCAGGCAACTAAAGGTACTGCAGGTTTTGTACTCATGATCTCCTGCATTTGACTGACAGACAGAGCTTAATAAATAATAACTGATCAAAAAAATTTTTTTAAGTAGATATGATGATATTTTATAATAATGTTTGGAAAATAAAAGATTGAATCACAATAAATGCTGTTGTGGTACCATGCAAGAATGAATTAATAGCTCAGTTGATCGTGTTTTTGTCACAAACAGATCTGCTGAAACAAATTATATGCTGTATTATCATTTATGTAGAACATGTTTTCAATATTAATACAGAGAAGTCCATAATTAAAATATTCATAACCTTTTAAGTGTATAGATTTCTTTAGATATATCCGTGCAAATGCTGTTTGAACCTTCTCTTCATCAAAAAATCGTGAAATATTAAACAAACAGCACTGCTTTTAATATAGATAATAAAAATAAATGTTATCTGAGCACAAATCAGCATATTGATATATGACGATATATAATTTCTGAAGGATCATGTGGCATTGAG